TTAAAATAAAAGATGATGCGATCACGATATGACTGCCAAGTGCATATTTGAGGATCAAAAACTTCGAACGACGGAGCTGGCGAAAATGTTGATGAGAGAGCAGTCCCAGACTTTGATTTGGCCATAATAATTGTTGATTAATGATGTAAACAAAGCAATCTCGTCGCCAACTGTAAATTTGTATGTTTTTTTTTGCTGTTATAAGCTTAAGTGAGTTCAGTTTATTTCGTGCACACTTGACACGATGTATATCGGAAAAACTTGAAAACAGACAAGAACACAAAGAGAGCGTGGAGAGAAAACAAGAAATAGATCAGACAATATAGCTGATGTTATCGGTCTACATATACAATAAGCATGCTGGAGAAATCCAAGTAGAAAATAAGAAGTAGAAGGAGAAATCCAATATCAAGAATAAGATGAATACTAGGAAAATTCCAACATAGCAATTAGGAATTTTCCAACATAACGATAGGGAAAATTCCTATATTAACACTGATTAGTTCTATAAATAGTCATAATCAAAAGAAAGATAACTTCAGGATGTCGGTTGTAAAAATAATTAGCAAGAACTCATCTGTTTGATAAATTGCTAACCCACCAAATTTTAGTATACTTCGATTGCTTTGAGTCTTCTTTCTTGGATAGTGAGAACTACACATCTGTATGATATTACTATCAAAATTTATTCAAAAAACAGTGGAGCAGATTATATATTCATATGGATAGTAGTCACCGATAGGAGATGATTAAGATCTGAATTCATTATAAATTAACAAACAAATAAAATGTATCACTTGAATTTTATCGACTTGCAAACATTAACAATAAAGTAACACTTAGTTCTCTTCAAAAACAGATTTTGGAAACATATCATATTATTTTCTATAAAAACTTAGATAAATAATATGGTTTACAGTCATCTGTTGGATATCTTTATCAATTAAAATATTTTATATATATTGAAATATATAGAAATAAAAATTCTTTCAACATAATCATATCAATAATTTTATTATCTTTAAAATCATTCATCATGATTTTGTTCTTTTGAAACATCCATAGAATCAGTTATAGTATTGTTACTATATAATTGTTCCCATATTTTTGTGTTCGGTGTAAAATAAAGATCACGAAAATTACTAAATAATTTTTCATTCACTTGAGCTTTTTCATTATTGTTACTTTCACGTATTTTAACTAATGTTAATAATCTTCGACTAACAGTTCGATTTAGTTGTTGTTCATCATTAGAAAATAATGTAAAACATGGATGTGTTGGTAGTAAATTTTCATCATATGTTACTATGTGTGTTGGCAACCAGAAAACCAATCGGCCACCAATACGTAAATAAACATTAGCGAAATTTAATAGATCAACATATATATTTGTTAAATCATATTTTTCTGACACAGGATTTTGATCATCATCTGTTTTATCAGTTCGACGACGACTTTTATGTTGAGATGATTCACGAATACCATAAGGTGGATCACAAACAATAGAATCAAAGAAAAATGTTGGACGCCACGGTGGATATGCAAAATCAGATCCAATTACATCCAAAAAACGGTTTAATGTGCCATAATCAGAAAAATTTCGATGCATCATTTCATCAGGATTACGAGTAAGTTGTTTCGTATTAGCTTTTGTTGGTTTTGCTAAATATTAAAAACATTAAAAAATAAATAAATCAGTTCGGATAAATTACCTTTTGCTGTTAAAACACGCCAATCAAACTCACCACCAATAACATAACTACCAAATTCAGCACAAGCCAGAAGGATTCCGCCTAGATTAATATCATATGAATGTCAAAAACAAAACAAAAATATAAAGTTAACCTGTGCCACAGAATGGATCCAATGTAATATGATTTGATTGACATTGAGCCATATTTGCCATAACAAATGAAAGTGTAGCATCCATTGTTGTGTTACCTAGGAAGATATTTAGACGTATAATTATACAAAAAAGCCCTTTTTTGTTCCCTTATCGAAGATAAAGGTGCATAAGATGACATATCGACACTTGAATAGTTTATTATTCGAAACCTTAAGTGTCTTATATGTAATGTAAGAGCTCATTGAACTGACAATTTAAGTTGATGCTTAAAATAATGATTTTTGTCATATAAACTGTTCAATGCAACGAATTATTTTCATTCAATTGAACACACTTGAGATTTCTATGTGGAATGTTTGTCTGAACCAACACTAGGCAATTTCATATTTCTCTCAAATTTATAGGTACTTTATCTGCAGCTCTTAGTAGTAGCACAATTTATGCATGAATGATTGATTCATATCATCTAGTCATATTGAAAGGGTACTGAAAAAAATCCAGACGATTGATGCAAATCTTAGAAATGCGACTACTAACGACGAAAGTCCTCCAAACGATAAATTACTTTTGACTCAAGATTATGTGCATGATGTACGTCCAAATGAGCCATGAATACCTTAAAAAGAGATCATTTTCTTCAGTTTATTGCTATAGAGATGCTGCACTACTACAGTATTTTTTAAAATGAATGTCATGGTTCAGAAAAACTGATTTTCGAATTTCGACTTGAAAATTCGCATAGGGTCAAGTCTTAACGCCTGTATTTCAGGTCTTGTCGTTATTTCCATCCTAAAATAAAACTATTGTAACAGCGTGTCTTTTATAGCAATAAGATAAGGGACGAATTGTTTCCAAGATATTCACAACTCATTTGAGTCTGTATAATGCACATAGTCTTCATTCAAAGCGATTGATCACTTAGAGGACTTTTCTTGTAAGAGAGCAATCACCACTAATTTAGTGTAAATTTGTATCAATAGTCTGAAATAAACACTGGAATTAAATACCTGCATAAAAAAATTGATTTATCCCACTGATTTATATACTTTGATCTGTCGTTAATAAATTATTATTACATGGAATTAGTGTAAAATTATATTCATACGAAGGTTCTCTTATAAAATTCAGTCATACTATTATCAAAATCTCTATTTTAAACATCCAAATTTAGTTCATTATGACATACCAATAAAATAACGTTTTCGAACATCATATTTTTCAATTAAATGACGTGCTCCATCACATATCTTGAATAAATATGAAATGTTTCTATTGAATGAAAAAAATGAGTCAAGAAGACTTACCCATCTACCAACAAAAACTTCGTTTGGTTGTTCAAGTCTTCCTTCTTCATAGTTTTCAAAGAGACCTACTGTACAATCAGCTTTATTATTCAAACAAAATTTATTTCGTATATTTAATCGATCACTGAATGCCTATGATAGAAGCAAGAAGAAAACAACTAAATAAATATATATATAATGTAAATTTGGATTAACTCACATCAATTCGTTGGATTTTTTCTGGTTGTGTAAATTGTTTTCGAAAAGCGTGAACAAGTATGCGCCATGTTTCATTCAATTTAGGACGCTATTAATACAAAAACTATTGTAAATAAAAAAAAGAACATTTCGTTAATTACCCAATCGGAATGTACGGTTAATTTATCAACAACATCTGTCAATGATGATCCATGTGTCCAATATTCATAAGCAGATCTATATAATATATATTATTTATAAAAAAAAATGAGCGACATTCGATCAGTGTTGTAAAATATGTCTCATTAAACTTCATAAACATTACAAATAGTGTCTTTTTTTATCATTCTAACAAATAGTAGTCGACATATTGAAGTCATCTTAGCTTAAAATGAAGGTAAAAAGTTTAACAACAAAGTTTTTTTTGATTCTTATTTAACACGAGAAAAGATTTTATTATTAGAGATTTCTAGGATCACGAGAAAGAGAAGTTGCCCAGATTAGGGCCGAGTTGAGAAAAAAAGTAATTTTGTCGAAATCGAAACTCAAGTTCAAGCATACTATCTTAATACTCATATAAATTAGAATATAATTCAAGAGAAATTACTTAAAACGTGCTAGTCGTGAAGTAAATAAATCAAAAAGTTTAGATGTGATACAAATCAACGTCGAAAGAAGTTGCTTTAGATCAGGACTCGAAAACCTAAAATCACTGAGACTAGAGCACTAGAAAAGAACTTGTCGAGACCCATGGACTGTCATGAAGCATACATAAGACGTGCCATAAGGCAAAGGTATTAAAGATATAATCTACATATGTTCGTTCTGTCAGGAATTCTTCCAAGTGTGTTCTCTTGTTTTCTTCCTTTGTTGTCTTTTTCATATACATATGTCAGCGTCCAAACTGAGATTACGTCCAATCTCAGATTGGCCTAGGCGAATGTCGTATCCGAGATTGGATGCGTCCAATCTCGGATTCACGCAATTCTGTTCGTTAAAATATCAATTACCCTTTAGACAGACCTTGGATTCAAACTTTTTTTTGAAATTATGTTCACACAATGCTGTTTTAAGTATTACAAGCATTTAGGAAGAAGCTAAATTTAGACTCAAAAATGTAATAAAAGTTTTTCACAAAAGTTGTTGTTCTCTAGAAATTTATTCATAACTCCTAAAATTTTATTTAAATCTGTCAAATGACAATTGTGCCAAACAAACTGGCATTGTGTGAACATAATTTCAAAAAAAAAGTTCGAATCCAAGGACTGTCTAAAGGGTAATTGATATTTTAATGAACTGAGTTGCGTGAATCCGAGATTGGACGCGTCCAATCTCGGATCCAACATTCGCCTAGGCCAATCTGAGATTGGACGTAACCTCAGTTTGGACGCTGACACATATAATAGTTCATGTATTTCTCCAATTTTATTTTGTTATCTATTGGTATGTTCCACCATGTTCTTAATATCTGACATATATTGTACACAACAATATAGACCGGGCATAAAATCAATAAAAATTTATTGGTTGTGAAACTAATAACACTGGGGCCCCACATATCTTTACCTGGAACTCTCCATTACTTATCTTTAGAGAACTGCACCTATTTTACGAAAGGTATCGAAGTGAAAAAACACAGTAAACGTATACAACTTTTCATAAAAACAACAGAGAATACCTTTTTAGGCCTATCGTACAATAAGTGTCATTTGCTGAAGATACATCGTGGAGAGTTTGCGAATACCATATTTTGTTCAAAAATGTTTTCTCTATTTGATAAATTTATTTGAAAAACATTTTTCCAGAGATTTTTTATCAAAACATGTTAATGGAAATTTGATAAGTACTTCTCGTCATCGGAAATTATTTTATCTAATCCAATCTTCTCTCAAATTTGTTCTAGCTGTTATCGTCAAGATAAAAAGCCAAAAATACTTTGTTTCTAAACTTTTTTTCCTCCATCTTAATCTTCCTGATTAAAACAATCAGTCTTTTATGTGAATCTCACTTTAACAAAACCGATCGAGATGAATATAATTTGAGATGATCGACATTGGAAAATGTGCATAACAAAAATGGATCCTAGAATTGAAGTATTTTATGATAAATCTCATTTCATTTACACACCCACACACCTGATCTGGTTTTCTTTCAATTGTCATACTCTCACGAAAACCGAACATTTCAGCCAAACTGAATAATTCCTATAATATTCCAAGGTGAAAAAAAAAGAGGTATTATATTATGCTTAGTCTTATTGATGACTACTCACAGATAGACGAAATTCGATGAGTTCATGAGCAAAAAAAAGTAAATATCGAGGCATTTATAATGAATAAATTTCTACAACAAAAATAATTAGAGTCTCTATTGTATACTATCAACTTCTTATTTTCAATCGTTAGAGATAAATTTGATATTCGTATAGATTTTTCACAGAAAAATAAAACATATTCTGGTAAATATTTATTGCCAGAATAGAAGAAAGTTTTACAATAAAAACATTTACACGAAAAATGCGTGATTATTAGTTCAGTTCGAATGTTTGTCAACAATGTCGTTAATGCAGAATTCATTTTGTCTAGATTCATTTTTATCATTAACCAGTGGTAATTAGGTTTATGAACAATCACAAAACCAGAGTTTAACAAAATAAATTTTATTAAAAATATAAAAATTTCATATTGATTGTCGTTACTATTATGAAAGAAATGATTTTGCTATCTTTTATATTTGACATTCTTGCATCATTACAAAACCGATGAATAATAACCGAATCTCTTGGCCTTTAGATGTAAATTCGAACGAATGCTTCAATTTCTCTTCGACATATTGGACACGATCGTAATGAGTGACCACATGCGACACATGTTGCCATGTGTCCACATGGTATGCAAGCTAATCGTTTTTCTTCCGTCAAGCAGAGAACACATGGATTGGATGGTGTCGCATTCGTTGATTGATTTCGTTCATTAGCAGTACTTGTTTGCTTAATTGTTTTTGTTTCATGTTCATTACCACTGGTTGTTAATCTTGATGTTGAATCAATCGACGATTGAGAAGATGTTGATTCATTTGTTAATGATTGAGATGATGTAGTCATTTCAACATCTGTAGGATTCGCTACTGATTGAGTTGCATTAGATGTTGTTAATGTTGTTTGTTCTTGCATTCGTGCTATTAAAAAATAAACAAAAATTATAATTAAGAACATTCTTGTATCAAAATTACCATTTTGTTCTCTGATTTGTTTCATTTTGATGCTTGGTATGACGATATTTTCTTTTTTACCGTCAATATGTTCAATTTGTTTTTGAAGAATTAAGCAAGCTATGAACAAATCACATTCAGATACAAAATCGTCGTCTAAAAACGAAATGTTCAAAAAAATATACATAACATTATTTTATTGATTATCTCACGTTTTATTCTTAATTGATCTTCCCAACATCGTTTAATAATAGATAATTTGAAATTTTGATCTAATAAACGTTGGGATATAGGTAAATCTAATCGAGCAGCAACAAGTCTCGATAAAGTACTTTCATCAGGTATCAATAATTGCCGACTATTTGTATTTAGATTAGTATTCACTGGATCACTGGAACCTGCTCTTTCTTTTACTTCATTAGCTCTAGCACGTTCTAGAAAACGAAAAATATTAAATTTTTGTCTTAAAAATTAATAATTTTTCAAACATACCTTGTTGTGCTCGTTTCGATTCTTGAATTTTACGATATAAATCATCACCACATAACTGTCGAGCATATGCACAATGTGGAAACCAACGAGCATGTTCAATCATTGGATTATCATTTGGACCCCAATTTTGTAATGATCCATTACAATAAAAACAGGTAACAATAGTTTTTGTACCAGTATAGAAAAATCCTGCTCGAACTAAATCATCTACTGATGGTAAATCTTCATTTGGCCAGGTTGCAAACGATGCATGACGTTTTGGTATTTCTGAATAAGCTGGATTACATGAAGCTGTAAATACAATATCATTGGATCTTAATGGACCGAGATTACTGGCTGTTGGTGAACGACCGCTAGAAATGGCACTTGTTGAACCTTCATTCACAATAACTATAGATGAAGCAGCAGGACGCATCAATTTTGCTTTGACATATATACAAGTAAATGAAAGTGTTTTATGTACTTCACATGGATCATCTGTATGTGGTGTCCATTGTTGACAAATAAGATTACAATAAATGCATATCACTCGATCACCAACATTGCAATTAAAAAATCCAGCTTCAATCATTTGTGAACTTGATGGAATGGTACGATGTGGCCAATGAGAAAAGGTACGTCTTCGCACTTGCTGAAGTAAATCTGTTTCAAGTAAAGTATTTGAGGGAGATTCTGAATCCATCGGTTCGATCTTTTGGCGTTTAAAAGGATTTTCTTGTTCATTGAGAGTCGTTGTATTTCGAACAGTAGTAGTTGCTGGCGAGGTGAAAGAAGCAGGTATATTTGATAATGAAGATGTAGCTATAGAGCAAACGAATGGGCAATCCGGTTGACGTTTCGAATGAATGATAAATGGATTCATATCTAACGTCCAGTTGGATACCTCAAGTCCGCAGTCCTTACAACGAGCTGCGTCTCCAACACCTGTATACTCAAATCCGGCGGCAATCATATGGCATACACTGTGAATACCTGGTTTGTATATTGATTTAGCTAATGAATGAATTCGATTGCGGATTTTAGCAAGAGTAAGTGAAGCTTCTTTCTTCTTATCAGACCATTTCGATGAAGAATCCATGGATTCAAATTTATGAGATGGATCACTGAGAGCATCGGTTGACGATCTGACATAAGCTGCTGACATTTTATATTAGCTGTATAATTAAATCTAAAAGAAACATAATATATAAAAAAGTTATTTTATATTATTTGGAAGCGTCGAGAAGATTCTTATCATCCAAACGACCTCATTAACTATTCATTGAAGCAAAAAAACGAAAAATCAAGGCTACCTAGATGACATCAGAGTTCCACTGGGTCATGAAATGTGATGCGAAGTTTCGAACGTTGAAAAAGCCTAAAATATCATTAAAAAACCGAACGACTTTTGATACAGTTAATAATAAAACGTTTTTCACTCAAAAGATATTTAGTTTTTTTATAGAAACAAGCCGTCTATTTTAGTCATTCTAAATTAGAAAGGCTATATTTTCATGACGATCAAGATCCTTTCCATAAAAAAAGAGAATTCTTCTCAACTACTTTTCATAACAAGATTAGATGAATAATTCCAATTAAAACTTTGTTTAAGAATATTCTCGTTTTCAAAACAGCGTCTAAGACATGGTGATAGAATGATCTCCGATAGAGAAAAATCTTGTGCATTGGTGATGTCTACTGTGAATCACAATCAATGCGCAACACTTTTCTCTGTCGAACATCATCCTTTCATCATGTCTTAGACGATATTTTGAACAAAAATAAAACTTTGAACAAAAGCTTCGACTCGAGCTACTCGTCTAGTTGTGAAAAAGCTTGCTGTTTTTTTAGTATCGATCGTTTCTAGGATTCAAAAAAAATCACTCCTTTGTAATCATACTTCTTCTCATGATTATGTAACTTCGAACTCAAATTTTTATCCTTTTAGCACTTACAATCTCCGGTGCAAAATTCGTAAATACTGAGTAACCTCTCTTTCCAGAGTTCGAGCTCGTCCCCAAGGACAAAAAAACTGCTGAAACTTTTTTTTTCGGTATGTAAATAAATTTCATACTGTCATAGACCTAAAGACTTGATTAAAATTGAATTGAACGATTTAAAAAATCTATACTTCTTATATAGATATTGAATACTTCTACCTTATTCCAGTAAACCCTAGATAGAAGAAAAACAAATGTTCTGCGATTGGAAAAATCCAACATATTATATATGCATTATTGTCATAGTTGGAAATTTCCAAGCGTAGGCGGCAGAAAGAGAAAAAAAATACTGTTTCATTGGACATAGATGACGAGAAACGATTGGTGAAGCAGAGGATCATATAAAAAACAACATGGAGCATAATCTAATAAATGTGAAGAATAAATCATACAGATAAATTTGAGTCACAAGTACAATGAACTTTAAAAGGTGAAAATCATTTGAACAACGCAATTACTACTTCAATTCAAGAGGTACAAATTTTGTTTGTTGGAAAAATTCAAAGTTCGCCACTATCAATTTGATTCAAAGGTATCACGTTGAGAGTGGCGATATATGGTTTAAACCAAACAAACTTGGTTTATTGCTATTGGCTAATATCGTTTAATCTAAACTCTAAATTACCGTAAGAAAATTTCTATTTTATGTTACTATTAAATAATAATTAATACATAGTTTTCAATAATTCCGATTGATCTGTTGGTTTTTATAAAAAGACTTCTTCATTCCGTTTATGGACTGATCTCACTGTTACTATCAGTGAAGAGGTCACCTAAACAATCTTGATTCGTCGTTAATGACAAACAAACGATAGTATATTATTATTGAATAAGGTAGATCTCACCTGACGTTGAATATAACAATGATTATTACAAGTATTCAGAGTTATTTTATTTACAATGAAATGGTTTTCGAATCTTCTGAATGCCAATTTCAACATGTTTTCCTTTTATTTCCCCTATTTATATATTAAAAATGAAAATAAACTAAAATATTCATTTATCAGATAAAAATTCGACAATCAGACAAATGAGTCATGACTGCTTACAAATATTGCACTCGTGACCTTTCGAATTGCATCACGAATTTTCTGGACATCTGCTCTCCTGTTGCCATTGACGCAATATGATTTATCTTTTACGCAATAGTGATTCATTTTTTCCGTTCGTCACAGGGGAAACATCCAACGTGTCATTAATTTGTTTATGTTTACACTGATAATCCATGAGTAATGACGTAAAAGAAACAGCATATTCATGTTTTGTTTATAGCAACGTTCTCTAACATGCTGAGAAAGGTGTTGCTAGTTGGACATAAAAAGATTGAAAAGAAGAATGTCAAATGAGTAAATGTAGAAGAGAATGTGAGTGTCGGTGAATAGAAGACGAAAGTCATACTCACACTCCACACTCGCATGCCATACTCTATATTCACATTCTTCTAACAATGCCTATAAAAATTATTTGCCATAACTAAAAAGGGAATCATTAGAATTTCTATCTACATTTTGAGCTTATATTGTACCTACAAAGATGCCATGTTGGAACGAATAAAATTCAAGAACGGTTTGCCGCTGTGGACTTCTCGAGTCGAATTATGGTTGTTTTACTAAATTCTTCACCCCATTTGAGATACATACTGAAAAATCAAAATGCAGAATTTCGATTGAAGATTTTACTCATAGGTAGATCAAATAATCTATAGAATATTCTAAAATTTTTAGCCGAAAAGAATATTCTTCTGTTAAGATATTAAATTTTCCAGTCAACTCAATATATGTGTATCATACATGTGTGGCAAACGGTTATTTTTCGGAAAATCAATATGTCAAAAAAAGAATATTCATTTCAGCTGAAACTCTGTGGATATTCTATAGATCATTAGATCTAACTATAAACAAAAGTGTACGACAAATTTCTAGAGTTTGTTTTTTTCCGGTACATACCTCCAGGTAGATGGAAATTAAGTAGCATGATCATAATTTGACTTCAAAGAACCATAGAAGCACACTCTTTTAAACTGTTTCTAATATTGCCAAGATGTCTTATAAGTTCAATATAAGCTAAAGTAATTCGTATTAGTTCGAATGCTTTCTTTTTAAGTAAGATTAAGGATTCATGATACTTTAAATTATTCACTGCAATATTCGTGCTTATTTATTTATGACACTCTATTACATCAATTCGTGGGTGTGTTTTTTATGATGAAGGTAACGCTCATGATTATTTTCGAAATAGTGCATACTTTGTGATCGTACTAAAAGGTACAAATCTATATGAAAGTGAATCATCATATGATAAACAGAATGGTAAATAATAATATGTTATACGCATGATTCAAAATGTATAACTAGAAGAAAAATCGACAGCAAATATTGTTCCGAGTAAAATACGTAAATGAAACATATCCGTTTTCCTACTAACATCGACCCTATTGGTACATCACTTCCTCTTCAGTATACCTCAAAAATTTTCAGTTATAAATAGTAAAAACTAATTGAGGAAATAGCAACCATGACTCTTTTATTTCTTTTTATGTTTTTTTCTCTCTTTATATATCAATATCAATATTTACAAAACAGATAGAATTTTATTGCATTTTTACTATGTTGGAAGTAGTTTTTGTCGAAATATTGAAAACTTCATCCATTATGCAAATGTTGACATTAACAAATACTAAATGAAAACCATAAAAAAGACACATAGAACAAGACATTTCTCTTAAAACAACGCAAGAGTCACAAAAACATCGTCATAATTTTCTCAATGTGTACAACTGCAACTTTTGAAGTCTTCTGAATACAAATAGCCATGTACATATGAATACAAAACGACGTCATAGTAGAAAAAAAATTAATTGAAAATATTACGTATTTCGTTTATATTCCATATAAGGATATGTCGAAATATTCATTAGACAAACATGAAATTATACCTAGAAAATATCTTCGAACTCAATCAGTCGAAAATCATTTACTATTAATACATGACTTATATTAAATAAAAGTACAACAAAGTTGTATCACGATCTATTTTACATATTATGAGTTGCTTCAATTAGTTTTTCTAAATACTTTTGAATCATTTAGTTTAATTTCAACATTATGCAAATCTATTCAATTAAAGTTAAGAATAGATCCATTATGAGTAAAAGGAAAAAAAACCGAATGAAAATGAAACATAATTACAGTGGTTTTCAATGAATAATATAAATATTAATTACAGAGAACGACTGTATGCGTAAGATAGACCAAGTCATGATGACTGTGCAAAATGAAGCTTAATTATTCGTAAAAAAAACACTTAGCGCACTGTACTGGAAAGAGAACGTGCTTCACCTTGGTGTCTATGACAAACACTGGTTTTTCAAGAACACAAGTGTTCAGAAATGAAAACATAAATTATTTTTGTCATAAGTATTAATTGACTAGTTTATTGGTTTTTCCTTAATAAAAAGAAAATCCACGAATATTTAATACTAAATCATCATTTCGGTAAATGTTCTGGTACTTTTCAACATGAAATCAAAGTCATAGTAGTGTTCATACTTCTCTTTACTGAAAATCTGAGTCAAAAATGAACAAACTTTACTTACATATGAAATTTACGAAGACATTGTAATAAGATAAATTATTTATTTGACAATAAAGAATAAGAACATCAATCAAACCATCGAATCTCTTCGTGATTGACATCTATATAAAGTTTAACCATAGAAAAAAAATTTACTTGCAAGATTTTATATAATACTTAGAAAATTAATAAAATTTGATTCCATTGACAGTAATCATCATGCCACTAAGCTTAATTAGCTTTAGTATTGACAAATGAAGTGAAATCTCTTTGACAGTACTCATAATGATATGCTTAAAAGAAAAGCATTTCTTACTACGAGGCATAAATTAATTTAATGGATTAAGAAAAAAATAAACTCACAATTCGTTGCGAACAAATAGATAGCCGAAAAATATATTTGAATCTATCATACGAACAACAAATCAACTATGTTAATTGAAATCTATTGCATCTAAAAGAAGAAATTCTTAATACTTATTTCTTAACGTAACATAGAACGAAAAAAAAGTTGAGTAAATGAAATATACTCACAACAAATGCATCAGAGAAAAATTACGACAGAAGAAGACTGTCTTTGATAAGAATGAGGTGGAGGTAAGAGCGGCGATATGGAGCGATTGATGATGTGAATAATACTGAAGATCTGGATGATGTTTGGCTTCAATGAATACTCTCCCCCATTCCATACTAAAAAGAAACCGTCAAGCTCGCTCCGACAGAAATAAAAAATACGACTAAATCTCAAAAAACATCATACCTACCTTATAACATTTTCTTTTCTCTACGTGTGAATCTATCATACATATCAAACTTGAAAGTTGAATCCAATTACTTAAGGGAGAAAAAACTTGTTCGCGTAACTAACCTTTTATATCTGTGTCACAGCTAATATTCGTCTCTGTGTACACAGTAAAATCTATCTTTATTTCGTCTTTTGCAATAGTGCAAAGGAAGTGCATCTTTGGACATAAATATAAACGGATAATGAGAAATGGGAAATTCTCTTTTTTTTTCATCTCCCACCATGAAATAAGGGGAATGAAATCGTGACCTTCTCCCCATCGAAAAAGTACCCAGACTTCTTCTAACAGTAACTAATAGAAAAAAATCCCACTCAGATAGGTCTCGACAACCCAGACCACTAACACAACATTTCTTATCGACATGAATGCTTATCATTTTACTGCACAAATTCAGTAGCTTTTGTCTCATAGTTTGCATTTGTTGCCAAAAAACCATAGAATCAAAGAAAAACGTATTACAACATATTAGGACGAACTTTAAAAATGAAGGAGCAGTATTTTTTTTTTCAAAATGATCTGATACGATTGATCAATAAATGTAATAAATATCTATCGAAATGAATAGCTCATCTAGAAAATAATTAACTAAGAATACATTGATTAAATATACTTTGAATAGAATGACTTCAAAACCGATTGGTAATATTTTGATTTAACAGTAATAAGAATCTTTTATTATTTGATACGACAATCAAAGTTTTTATTCTATAAAACGATAAGATTGATATTTTTGTACTGAAATCGATTGTTTCTTGTAAATAAAAATTTCATTTCGTTCTCTTACTTCATGAAAACGATAACTTCGCAGTCTCTGTTCAAATTTTGATCACTCGTATTCGTATACCATCATGACTAGAAAAGAGCTCAAATAAACGTATTCTACAACATGCAAGCACTATTATCTTTTGTATACCGGTATATAATTCGATATTTGCAATGACTATAACGCTTGGAAATTTCCAACAACAATCATTTGACACAACACAAGCGATAGCCTTCATCCTTACATTAATGATTTTTTCCCCACTTCATGTTGTCGACGTTATCGTGGTGTGATTTTTTTCCTTTAATAGACTTAGTTGGATATTTCACATGCTGCATGTGATGTCATAATATCGAACATACTATGAGATGAAAAGAGTCATTTTCCTGCAGTTAAGCTCCTAGACAACATCTTTTTTGCGTATTGAATAACTATTAATGATTGCTGAAGAAGGACATTTGTAAATTTTTGTATAATTAATTTTTACTCTTTGTTTTATTAATTTATTTTTAAATTTAGTGACGTTTCGTTAATGAAGCTGACGTCAACAGACTGTAGGTGAAATGTAAACACGAAATTGTGATTCACGAATGCGCATTATTTATTTTTTTTCTTTCCTTCACAATTTTTTGGTAGTGAGAGAACAAAAACATTCGAAATCATGACATTTTTATGCTTCTACTACTAAAAAAAATAGTAAAGACGAATTCTGAAGTAAATGATCGATGTATATGCTTCAAAATTCTTTGTCGACATTTTATATGCAGTTAGCTTTGTTAACGAAACAATATTAAGTTAGGTAATAGATTTCATAGAAGTCAATAAACAACAAGAATATAAATTAATTTCACAAAACACTTTCTAAACCAGGATCAATCATCAGTTTGGTAAGATGAAATCATATTTTGATAATATCTATTGACATCTTGGCTAAATGAATAGGTAGAACAATCAAAAAAAAAAGAATATCATTGTAGCCTTTTCTAATCAAACTAAATAGTCAAACGTAGGAGAATATAAAAGAAAACATCATCGTTCCGCGAAATTCTAAAACTAAGACTTATTCTATAGGATTCCACGATTCAGAAATGAGTCAAATGAAACATTCAATTGATATACAATGCGGTCTTCGTCAAGGACTAGTCAGTGATAAAGTTTCAACTTCGATGACACCATGTCCTTCGATTACGTCTTCACTAAAAAGAGAAAGCAACTTTTCACAACCTGTCTATTCTAAAAAGGCTGACCATTTTCGCCAAGTGATACAAACATGTAGAGCATTATTACAAAAACAAGGTGTGCATTCTACTATGAGTATGACTGCAGCTGGATTCAATTATACTGGCAACGGAGACACAGTCCATTGTGATACTTGTGAACTAGAAGTGTCGGAATGGACATTAGATATGAAGCCATTTACTATTCATGCACAACGTAGCCCCAAATGTGCATTTGTTCGTTCTCTGATGCCCAATGGAATAGCTCCTGCACCATAAAAGATGAATCTACTTGCAACGACTTCAGCGTTAATGGATGATGAAAAGCCATCTAAACGTCAGAAAAATGAAGCTACAGAAGAAATTACTCAGCCATATAGACTCCTCGAAATTGACATACTTAAACAGATACGAAAACGAACTTTTTCAAATTGGCCACATAAAACTTCATCCTCAAGTAAACGAATGATTGAAGCTGGGCTTTTCAGTTGTAATGTTGGTGATCGTGTTATTTGTTTGTATTGTAATATCATTTGTCAATAATGGACACCGCACATTGATGACCCATGTGAAATACATAAAATACTTTCTCCTATATGCCCATATGTTATTGCAATGTTAAAGAATCAACCAATATCATCAATTCATTTTGTTACTGAACAGCTAACGACAGATAACCCTATAGTGACGACAAATAATGATACATGGCAGAGTAATGAGATTCTTTATCCTGTTGCATGCCATACATAGTATATTGGAACCTCTAGCCGTCGTGGTTCTTTTCATGAATGGCCGAATGAAACTTTGCCATCTATTGATGATCTGGTCAGTGCTGGCTTTTTTTTATACTGGCACTCAAACTATTGTGACATGCTTTTATTGTAATGGATCATTACAGAATCTCGAAGCAAACGCTAATCCAATGACTGAACATGCTCGATTGTTTCCATATTGTGCATTTGCTAAAGAGCTGTGTGACCTAGAGCTGTATCGAAACATTCAATGAGTCGAAGGTAGTATAGCTTATTTGATAAACAAACACGAAAAAAATTGATAATTTTTTTTGTTCAAGGACATGACATTGATGACGATGAAGTCACTTTTTCATCTCATATTAGAAGTCGACTCGATTTGTCTGTCTCAAAAAGCTTGATTGCTCGAGGCTTCCACTTATCAATCATCAAACGTTGCTATAAAGATCAATTCCAATTGAAACGTAAGATAGTTGTTTTCTTTCGTTCCTTGCAAAAAAAGTAAATGAAACTCTATTTGATTCCTATGTTAGATGATGATTTTGTCAGTGATTCTGATCTTCTAGTGGCTTGTATGATTCTTCAAAAACACATTGAACATATTAATGGAAAAAAAGAAAATATTATCATTCCGAATGTAAAAGTAAACCAGATTCATGAACGAGAACAAGCAAAGCTTCGTAGTTCAACTAATATATTATCGAGAACTCAGTCTCATAATCTTTTAGGAAACATGACTCATGAAATATCATTAACGAATTCTCGAAATAACACCGTTGCTGAAATGACAACCTCATCACAGCATATCAGAAGAGCAATGAATGTGAACGATCAACAAGTTGCACCATAACCGTCATCAAATCTTTGTACTGTATGTTTGAAAGAAGAGAAGCGTCTTGTCTGCGTACCTTGTGGTCATTTAGTTATGTATTCTTTGTGGTCATTATCTTCAATTATGTCCGATATGTAAAAGAAATGTTGAAGCTGTCATTCGCAAATATATATGAATATGAACAATTACTTAGACCTCTAAAAGAAACAGAAATAGTTTTACATCGAAATAAAATTTAAATTTGAAAATTCTTTCACTGAACGTAAATAGAACACCAAAAAATCACAGCAATATGATAACTTTTATCCGAAATAGATCACTCATGCTAAAATATAAACTAATTGGAACTCGTTGGGTTGATCTCGGACGCGACTGAGTCCAGGTTTGGCTCTGAAAATTTTGGACCTGATGAACTCTTACGCCAGAACTCATCATTCAGTTTCAAGCAAGTAGAATTATTCTTTATCTTTGATGAAAATACTCATACTTTATGAAGACAAATAACACAAATATTTTCTAGATTTTTCTCTATTTGCTTTGAAACTTCAGAAACATTGAATGAATATTTTTGTCTTGAATCAATTTTGTTTAACATGATTCTTTTTATTTTTTAAGTATTTACAAATGACTATTTTTACATACAAATAGCTATTTAAAGATTACTGTTTTTTTTCATGAGTAATAAACTTATAATGAAACGATAATATTAATAGAATAATACTTATGATTATTCAATACAAACAAATGATTTTTAATCCATAAAAAAAAAACACAAAAAAATCTTATTTGTTTTTTAAGCATTCCTAAAGAAGGTGTCTCTTACCAGCATTTAGAAATTCGAAAGAAAGATTTTTAATTGGTTTTGAACTTTTCATTTGATTATAAGAGAATTGTTTCGTATTCCATTATGCCACTACCGAAAAATAAATCGCTTTCTTTGAAAAATGTAGGTATGCATAGAAAAAAAAAACTTCGGATAGAAATTTTATGGTCCCACGACTTGTCTACATAATGTACTGTTGAGTTTTCAAGAATACTTCCTCAATTCAAAGCTTTTTTTGAATTGAAATGAATGAAATGACAGTCGATTATTCAAGATATCTGGAATAACTTATCATATATGTAATGTAAAAAAAGTGGCTGCAGAAAAGTTCATTATTCTGAGGTACACATATCTTAATTTTGCGAAGACACATCCTTAATAAATGATTTAGCTAATACAGCTTCACTTCTTGTCTGAGTATTCAAAAGTTCATTTTTATCAATCTGTGTATCTCCATAAACATTTCGATAATAGTTGAGATAATATTTGTTTATACAAATAGAATTAAAAAGAGTTGCAAATGTCCGAGTGTTATACAATCTAGTGGTTTTTTGTTCGCTGAACTTTATGTGCTATTTATCATTAATGTATCAAGTGATACAATGAAATTTGCACCTTCTCAGTATATATAAATTATCAATAAAAAAGAAAACAAAGAAGTGAATTCAATTCCAGTTACACCATAAATACGCAGACGAATACCAACAAAGACTCAAATTCCAGACTGACTTCGAATTATTTAATGTATGATGAAAGCTACTTGTTTGTTTTGAGAATACAAATTCCTTCACGTTTATTTTCCTATTGTACACTTGTAAAACTTGGTTTTTAAAGAATAATGATGAATAAAAAAAAAGGTTTACATATTCAGCTAAAAATACGAATGAATGATTTTTTTTTGGGATATTATTAAGCGGTCAGTAAAATAAATGAAATGGTCAGGAAAATATATGAAATGATCAGTAAGATAAATGGTCAGTAAAAAATGTATAAATGATCAGTAAAAAGATTAAATGGTCAGTACTTAGATTATCACTCATATAAAAAAAAAGATTGGAAAAAATCTGATTTTAATCGATTTTTTTGTGATTAAAAATCGATTAAAATGGGACAGTTTTAACCAGCTTTTTAATCAAACTAGTGATTAAAATAAATTAAATTTATAAATATCCATTTTAACCGATTAAAATTTTTTCATTGACTATTTTACTCAATTTTAGTCAGATTATTCGATTTTTAATCTATTAAAATCGATTAAAATTTTTAAATCGATTTTAATCAATTCTAACAGTTTTTCTTTTTAAATGAATAAGTACCAATTGATATCGAGTCTTGAAGCATGGAATTTATGTCAAAGGTCGATCTAGCATCATATCTACTAATTTTCCGAGGCAAGGAGTCCGAAAAAGCGATCGAACATCTGAGTTTTCAACATAAAGTTTGAGAAAACGCATTTTACCGTCGCCGCCATTAAAATTAATATTTATAAATTTAATTTATTTTAATCACTGGTTTGATTTAAAAAATCGATTAAAATTAGATTTTTTCCAATCTTTTTTTTATATGAGTGATAGTCTAAGTACTGACCATTCAATCTTTTTACTGATCATTTATATACTTTTTGCTGACCATTTATCTTACTGACCATTTCATCTATTTTACTGATCATTTAATTTATTTTACTGACCGCTTAAATAGTAGCCTTTTTTTTTCTCTTATCATTTTTTATACTTTAATATTGACTTTAACCATGCCGATAAAGTATTATTTTTCAATTGTAAATACTCTCGATAGTATTCTATAATTAGTAATATATAAGAGTATAAACAATAAAAGAAAAGGAATAACAACATTTTTTTATATCATTTTCTTGTGTTCTAAAACAAACCAGAAAAAAAAGAATAATGTTGGCTACGGCTTCATTTAATGTACATCGAAGAAAGCAGATAATGAATGATAACATGTATGAAAATAACTATTATCATTTGACTTATAAATCGGTGCTTCATTTTCTTTTTTGTTTCTTTCGAAACATACAGACTCTTATCCAATCTCTGTTCTTATTTATTTTATTTTCCAAGAGTATAAATCTCGAAATATCAAAAAGCATAATGTTTAATATTGCTGTATGTGTTAAAGGGCAGTATTATTTTTATTATTTATAATCATAGTTCACTATGAAAGGTGAAAAAGGCCGTACAGTACATAGTTATTTTTTCTCTTGAATATTTGGTCATCTCGTTATTTTCAACCGACAAAACCTGAATATATTTCTATGGTATTTTCTCTTGCGTCTTTGAATAATTGCACATAGATACATCAGACAGATTCTCCCTTACATATGATAAGATTAAACTAGAATAGACATATTTTGCATAGGAGATTTGCTATTTCATACTTAAAATTTTTTTTCCTCTAGACAAAAATATTAAGTACCTCTGTATTACATTTGTTTGTTTCATAACTATTTATATTTTAGTATTATAAACATATTCTCTTTCTATAAAACATTAAAAAATTTTGATTCTTTTTAAAATTCAATGTCCATTGACATAGAATTATTTCCGTAATGAATATAGATTTAATTATATCTATAAAATTTTTTCAACAACAACAGCATTATAGCAGTTGTGTATCTCTAATGATTAGAAAAGTGTAATGTTTCAAGCATCTTTATTATCAAATTTTGTTAATATTATTTATAAAACAAAAATTTCTTGGGAGTTTATTTTATTTATTTTATTTATTTTAAAATTTTCTTCTACTTATTCTGATTCAATAACAACATTATCATCATCAACTTATCATCATTTTGAATTTCTATCAAATAATTCTTATCGTAATTTTTTTCTAAGACAATATTTTATTGATTTACTGAATATTTCTCATTCATCACTTATTCAATCAATGATTATAAATCATCATTTAACAACGAAAGTAGAACAAAGTTCGTATCCTAAAAATTATTTTTTTTTTTGTCCGAAAACTTTTACTTTCTTTTTTTGTTAAAGATCGAAAACGTAGATCTATAACTAATAAACCTTTATCTTTAACTCCAACATTTACATTACATTCAACAAACTGTTTAATAATAAATAATAATCAAGTTCAATTATCATTTCAATGGTCTCATTCAATAGGATCCTTATCGTCTGTTGAACTTATTTATCATATTGAATTAAAAAAATCTTCAATACCTATACATATTTCAATAAAACAAGCACATACATTTATTGAATTATTTTCAATCGATACATATTTAGAAATTGATTCTGTTCGAGATTTTTATGTTCGTAATATATATGATTATCTTTTACAAATAAATAATCAAAATTTAATTATTGAAACAATTATTAATAATCAAACATGTCAAACATCACATACATATATAATAATATCATCATTAAAATCTAATCAATTATCTTCATATGATCTTCAACAAACAACCATGTGTAGAATAAAAACAATTCAAATTAAATTTGAAGAACTCGGTTTAGCTTATTTAATAATTAGACCAAAAGAATATACATTTACTTATTGTGATGATTCATGTACAAATTTGACTCTTCAACAACAATTACAACGGTCATCAATTTATGCATTAATACAATCAATCATTGGTAAAAAATTTTCTAATATTCCTCAACGAAATTGTGTGCCATCACAATTTTCTAATGATAATTTTCTTCTTCGACAAACCGATGGATCTATGGAAATTTATCCAATTAAAGATGTTATTGTGAAACAATGTGCTTGTCTGTGATGTTATTGTTTGTTTTATTAGAAAAAAAAGAGAGAAAATCAAGACATCAAATGATTTTATCAGCTACAATATGAAGTGTATCAGACAAAAACAAAATTATGAATGAATCAAAGTCGAAATGGATACAAATTGATCATTAGACATAATGGTTTATTGACAAAAAAATTGACTGTATTTCAAAAAGGAACATTATGCAATTCAATCTGTTTTTTTTCTGCAATGGATATAATTAAAACATATACTTCTTCGGTTCGACATATTGAAACTTTGTAATCTTTTATTCTCTATTTATTAAACCACTAACATCTGTAAGTGGTATGATTTTGAAATTTTAGTTCAGCTTATATTTAACAAAAGAAACTATGTGCATATATTAAATCATCAGTAGTAATTACAAAAAAGAAAGAATAATGAAATGAATATATATATAAGTGAAAAATAATAACAGAAAAATGTCATGACGAGAAAAGAACGTCTATATTAGTAAGAAATTAATGCAAAGAATGGGAAAAATAGGTCATGTATATGTTTGAAAAATATTAGGAAAAAACCTAATATAGAATGCACTCCATAGCATGGAGAAAACTATGAAGCGGAATAAATTATGTATTTTCCAATGATATAAATGACTTCGAGATTTTTAACAATGCTAAAGATGCGAAAAACAAGATTATTCAAAATATAAATCTATGGTTTCCCAGAACACTATTATTAAATTTAGTGATCCAAAAATCCATAAAAATATTTAACTTTAAAACATTACAGATATTATACATAATTTCTAAAGTCTCTTTGGACATGAGAATATGATTAGAAATATGAAAGACAATCCAAGAAATTCAGTTTACGTTAGAAATAATTTTTTTTTTCAATGTATTTATATAGCTGTTTATTTGACACTATAATTCGATTCGAGATAATATATTTGTGAGAAATCATTTACCTAAAATAAATTGAAAAAAAATGTGGTCTTTTATTATGGTTCTTACAATAGTGAGTTTACTGCATTAGCAATTTGAGAGTCTCAACTAATTGATTTTATTATTAGTTAAATATAGCAACAAACAACAGGCATAGGTCACTATCAATTGTATTATTTTTCTTTGATTTTAACAAAACAATTTAAGTTAAATATTCTCTTCAGTTTTCGTTCTTTGGCTACAGCTGTGTTCAAATATTTAATAACAAATGTTTGATTTTAAATGCATCATTTTTCTTCTCTCCTAAGAAAAAGACATATTACATATATTTAAACAAAGAGAAAAAAAGATATCTAATGTTTTATAATTCATAAAAGTCTTTTTATTTAAACTTCACTAGAACCTTGTACATAATCCCAATCGACATTTAAATGATCTCGTTTAAAAAATAATTTAAATTTATCAATACTATCTGTATCTCGTTCTAATTGCCATAATAATTGACATGAACAAACAGGTTTTGAATATGTTAATGTTGCTGCTGTCGAATTTATTTCTATACATTCATTTGTTGATTCACTTGATGATTCATTTTCAACATCAACAATTTTCATTGATGATTTTAAATCATTATTTGTATTTGAATGATGTTTTTTTCTTGTACTTTTATGAGTTTGTTTTATTAAATCACTTTTATTATTATTCGATTGATTTGTTGTATAGATACAATCAGGTGAATGAGTTTGAATAATAGTTGATTTATCATTTGTTTCTAATTCAATATTAATATTTGGAGGATCTAAAGAAGTTATTGATACATTAGGTAAACCTATTCCTAATGCTGCCGGTATATTATCTAATGTTTTTTGACTTAAGATTCTTGTACGATATGGTAAATCATCAGTACTAAATGCAGGTAATGGTGCTTGTGGTGAACCGGATAAACGTCGATGATGATGATGATACATCCATTGATCTGGATAAGCTGATAATGAACTTGATGGACGCCGATCACTACCAAGTAAATCATTTGTACGTAATGATGATGCTGCTGAATTAACAAATTCAGCTTTTAAACGTAATGTATTACCAAAACGAATACGATGTAAAACTGAACGACGAAATAATGATGAACCTTCACTATAACGATAAGATGATATATCACTTTTTGATGTTGTTGATGAACCAAAATGACAACGAATATCTTTATTTGTTGCAAATGCACTAAAATAAAAACGAATTCTTTCCATTGTTTTTTTGCTTTTTTCTTTATATGAAAAAATTATTTACCTTCGATGATTTTTTTCTGGTTTAAATATAATTAAATAAAGTTTAGGAAAAAATAAAAATATAAGTATAACATATGCACTTGCATTTGTTGCAACACATAATGAAAATACTTTCATATCAATAGCAAAATAAACAGCAGCAAATGCTAACCATATAACACAAGTTGTATACATTGAAAAACCAATAAATTTTGCTTCTATTCAAAAGTAAAAAACAAATAGCAACATAAAACAATATTGATTTTATGGATATTTTTATTTACCATTAAAATTTTCAGGTAAATTTCTTGTTTTAATCTAAATCAAAGTTCAAGAAACAGAAACAAAACAACAACAAAGGAAACTTACTGCATAAAGTGTACATAGAAAAACGAGTAGACCATCAAAACCAAGTGGAGCGGCAATACCTTGCAGTGATTTTTGACCTAATAATCACACTTATATGAGAATGTGTTTGTTTTTAACGAGGCAACATTTTCAATTGATCAATCGGTTTTGTTTTAATGAAAACTAGTAGACTATAGGTTAGTTGACTATGTCGACTCTGAATATGACCATGTTAGAAAACCGATTGGTTTAGAAAATACAGTAGTTTTAATTCATACGACAGATACAGGTACATAGAAGATGCACACGAGTAGTTTAGACACGAAATAACGAAATCTAATTTTTAGTTAAAAAGATGATTACGAAAGAAAGGAAATAAAAAATAAATAAATAAACATGAATGGATAAACATTTCGACGTGTTTAAAAACGTCTAGAAAATGCAGTTTGAGATACATTCTCATTTTTTGTTTAAAAAACATATTATCAAAACTCATCTTGAATCGTAATTCAACCATGGCACGTCAATCATGATACATGCTCTTTATCAGTCAAAATCTTCTTCCTTCATGTACACACATGTTCTGTCTAAGAGAGACTGAAGTTACGAAAGAAAGTCTTCTCGATTGAAATAAAGATAGTTGTTCGAGAATAAATCAAAAGACTTATGCTTGAGTTATTTGTTCAAAACTAATATTTATAAAAAAAACAAAGACAATCTTACATGTTAATAATAAACGTCCACCAGTTTCGATCAATACTGCTTTCGGCGGATCTCTGTACACAGTAACAGCTAAATAGAAAAAAACATACATAAAAAAAAACCTGTTAGCCCAATTCCTTCGATATTAAAATGTGAAACACAGTATAGCTACTCTTGCTCATCATACAGGCAGATTGTTTTTATTTAATCTATTTTAGGACATATCTCTTCACTATTATTGTACTTAATCTTCTAGAAAAACAATAAAAAAGTAGTGCATATTTTATAGAAGAGACATTATTGAAACAAGATTTAACGTGTGTCATGCTGTGTGATCGGATCCAAATTTTTATCAATGTACTTCAACAGTCTCTTCAGATTATGTTTCACAAAAAAAAAAAACAAGATAAAATTTCATTTTATTTCAATAACTTACCAACGATGGTAACTTCCGTAACAAGTATAAAACAAGCAATAGCAAGTTGATGTCTAGCACTCATAAATTTTAATCGTCTTGTTATAATTTTCTTTTTACTTCTTGCTAAAATTCTTGCTATTCGATTTGTTTTTGTAACTAATGATCCATATATCATTGAAAATGATATACCTGGTAATAAACGTGTTAAAACACAAATAATAAATGATGGTTTTTGTAAAATAACAAATGCTGTTAAATGACAAAATAATATTCCCATTAAAATTAAATAACTTAATTCACGTGTTGTTGATTTAACAACCGGTGTAGCATTAAAACGTACGAATATGTAAACAACAAAAAAACTTATTAGAATACCAATACCAGCAACAAAACATATTATAATTGATAATGGATGACGAAAATTTATTGTTGTTATTGGTAATAAACCACAAGCTAGAGCGAGAAAGAAAACAACTTCAATACATGCACAGATTGGGAAGAGGGTCGCTCATCAAATGACATTCGCTATGAATTACTCATCATCAAAGGTCATTTTTCAGTCGTCTCTACGATCCCTTAAGGTTCAACAGTATTTTTAATAAACTGCTTCGAATTAATGTGAAATAGTTTCAATTTAAATAATAATAATAACCTGTTTGATTAGCATTAGGTGAAAATCCAATCGGACACGTAAAACATGTTGTATCATCAAGTACAATAGCATTATCACAATAATGGCATTTCCAACAGCAACGTTCTTCATCAGTATATTTCTATAAGACATAAATAGTAGAATAACAAAAACAAAAAAAGAAACATCAATAAAATACTAACTTTAATATGACCTATTGGACAAGCATCACTACAAAATCGACGAATATTTATTTGATTTGAGGAACGTTGATCAGCAAAATAACGTATTGATGATATATTTAAATTTAATTTACCAGTACTCCATGTTCCAACTTGAACATAATGTAGAGGATGTTCCAAATTATTTCCATTAATTTGTAAATTTAATATATCATATCTTAAAATAAATTAAAACAACATTATAAAATTTAAAAAAAGATTCTCAAAATATACCTTCCAGGACCATCACCATTTTCATCAAAAAATACTTCTTCACCTAAAGAAACGATTTTCAATAATTAATTGTTTTTTTTTTGTTTGATTTTTCTTACCAGTTATGCCAGTAAATCGACTACTTTTTAAAAATTGCATTAATAATGATGTATTCATACGAGCCATTTCTATACATAAACCTTTTGTTCCATTACAAATCTATATTTTATATTTCAATAAATAAATATCAAATAATATGTTATTTTAAATTACTTGTTT